TTTTCACCATACCTTTGTGTGTTAGGTAGCTAGGAAGATGCATATCGTTCTCATATTACAGTAGGAAAACCGGTAAATGTACTCACCTGAGAGCACAGATGCGAGTTGGTTTCAAATTTGGGATTAGATTGCAGGAGCTCTTTCTTGCCAGTACTGCATTAGATTTTCAAATTAACTCTCTGTGCTTAACCACCTCAAAGGTGACTGGACAAGCAATGTCTATCAAAATTATTAGGTGCTGTGTGTTTCTCTGTTTCGTGGCTTTGAAACATCTCACCTTTGTCTTTAAATATAAACACAAACATGCTTGAGTTGCACAGCTTAGGTTAATTTTTTTCTTTGTTATATTTTAATATTTTTGGTAATTACTACAATGTAAATCATTCACATTTTTCAGCTGCCAGCGAAGGAGGAGCCAATGTATTCACTGTATCTTACTTCAAAAGTAGTGCCTACCTGGCTCAGTCCCCACAGTTGTACAAGCAGATGTGTATATGTGCTGACTTTGAAAAGGTTTTCTGCATTGGACCGGGTAAGAATAACTTTGCCGTATGAATAACTTGGATAAACCAGCAATAGGTTACAGTGGGAGCGTGACAAATAAGGTAATTTTACACATGCTGAAAGCTTGAATCATTTCATCTGTGATCTGCATACCAAAGAAAAGTATCAAGGAAGGGCTACCAATTGGACTGACAGATTTGACAGATAAGCTGAAGGAACAGAAGTATGGTGTGGAAGTCAGAAATTTTGGCAGAGCACTGGTATTCTCTAGTGGATATTACCTCAGAAGACAAAAAAGGAGCACTGCAGTAGCAGATAGTAGAACAGTGATGAACTAAAACAAGCTTGTAAAGTATCCGCTAATTCTGTGATGCTAGAAGCTGAAGGTTTTCATGAATGTGCTTCACTTGAAGCAGTTAAAAATATGAAAGTGTTTTTTGCATAAAATGCATTCTAAGGGCCCATCCTATATTGTGTGTATACATATATATGTATATTAAGAAAGAAACATTTAAAACACATGCTAGAAATTGGGCAGATGGTAAAGTAACCCCAGATTTTAATAATTTCTAATCTCCATCTTGATCTCTTCAAAAACTTAGGAAAAATAGGTCTTGCTACTGCTGAACAGTAATCTGCAGTATCACATTTCAAGTATACTTCAAAAGGCGGTATAAATATATTTAAAGCTGGTAATTAGTCGTTGGCAGAACAACATGAAAAGAGAACTAAAGATTTCAAAAGTACCAAGTGTTGTAGGTCTTGTTCTGTGTCAAAGTGTTGCAAGACCAATGTGATTGATTGTATGAGTTCTTTTACAAGCAGCAAATAGTCTTACTCGTTTCATTTAAGATAAAAATGCAGTTGAGTATTTGCACTCTTTTACAGTATTCAGAGCTGAAGATTCCAATACACACAGACACCTGACTGAGTTTGTTGGTCTGGATATAGAAATGTCTTTTAACTACCACTACCATGAAGTGGTAGATGAGATTGCAGACACTTTGGTGCAGATATTCAAGGGACTTCAAGAAAGGTAAATGCACCTAGCTCAACATATGTAGGGGTTTTAATAGGACAAGAATTGGCATTCCCTCCAGTAACCACCAGAAATCCACTTTACACTAAGCAAGCTCCAGAATTAAGGCTCTTACCTCTCCCTAGCTGCCTAAGTTTCAGAGTTTGTGGAAGCCTCGGGCGTGAGTCCATTGTCACCCTGAGGTGTGATTCATGGAGCAAGTCAGTTGGCATCAACCAAAATTATTTTTGTTGGGAAAGTTTACATTTACAACAACTCTTTGTCTGTGTTTTGACATTGATCTTCATATCCTCTTTTTTTTAAAAGCTTTCTCATGTCTTCCTTATCTTAGTAGTGAGTATATAAACCATGAAAGTATAGAGCAGTGTTTTCCACTTTTTGGTACAAAGCCAGTTCAGCAGGTTCTGGAGGGAAGTCTCACATTTGTTTACAAATTGTGAGCTATCCAACCAGTAAAACACAATATATTTACTTAACTACAAGCAAATTTGTATGTGGTTTCTGTAATATTTAATCTTGGAGTAAAGCCAGTAACTATAATAAAGCTTGAGTTTCTAATTTTTAGGGCAGTGATTTCAAGGAATAGTCATCTTAGCTGGTTACCCCTTGAGAGAAGAATGAAGCATCAGGAATAGTGTTAAAATATTTGTAATATTTATCAGAGTTGTATTTGCAGTATTTAAGTGAATTTCATCAACTTGGATAATATTCAGTTCTTCATTATATACAACTGCTTTGGGAACAGTCCTGAAGTAATTGGTCTTATATGTTACAAAAGTGACCTCTTGTGGCAAAAAATGTACTGCAATTGTAAGCTTGCGTTAGTGGACCCTACAAGAAATGCTTTTCTGTTTCTTCATGTATAGATTTCAGACTGAAATTCAGACAGTGAATAAACAGTTTCCATGTGAACCATTCAAGTTTTTGGAGCCAACTTTGAGACTGGAGTACCGTGAAGGTGTGGCTATGCTCAAGGAAGCTGGTGTGGAGATGGGGGATGAAGAAGATTTAAGGTATAATAGATGTGTTGGAAAGCAGCCAAACCTTGTGAGAGTAAAAACACACACACACACACACCAGTTCTTGTTGAAATATTGATTTGGTACTGTACAACCATGTTCTGAAATGAATTCACTAGACTATATGTGCTCATAAGATTATTGGAAAGTGGGACTGGAAGGGATCTCAAGAGAACCGGAAACTAGGACTGGAGGGAACCTCAAGAGGTCAAATAGTTTAGGCCTTTGCTCGAGGCAGGATCTTCCCTAATTAAACCATCCCAGTCAATTAGCTGGCTACTTTCTCTTGCAAAATAAGTAATGGGATGAGAACCTAAATCCCTTAGTTTACTGTAAATATTTTATACCTAAGTGAGCCTTGGGTATCCAAAACAAAAAATATAACAGCACAAAGTGAGAGAAGTTCGTCAAGAATAAAACACTTCTTCTACAAAGCAGGTTGCAGGGCTGACCTGCTAAAAGTCTGTGAATGTGATTTTTTTTTTTTTTTTTTTTTTTTTTTTT